AGAAAGCAGGGGAGGGGGAAGCAAAGAAAAAGCATGTCAACAAAAACATTTTTAAAGAGATGATGGAAATGAGTCCAAGTAAACCAGCAATCAGAATATACCTAAATGGATTAAATATGTCTACTCAACTCCACCTACATATCACTTATAAGCAGCACATCCAAAACATAAGGATAGAGGAAGGTTGGAAATAAAAGGATGGAAAAAGATATTAGTACATCAGAAAATTCACCAAAAGAAAGCATTCATAGCAATAAAATCAGGCAAAAACCATTAATAAGGATGTAAAACAGTCTATTTAATGATAAAGGAGCCAACTCACAGAGAAGATACAACAATCATAAGCTTGAATGCTTATCTGCATTCTGCATTCTGCTTAACTGCATACTCTCAAAAATTAATAAAGTTACTAGAGAAAATAATACACCTACAATTATGGTGAGACTTTATTTTTTTTTTTTTAGAGACAGGATCTCATTCTGTCACCCAGGTTGGAGTGCAGTGTTCAATCATAGCTCACTATAATTTTTGAGAGTATGCAGTTTACAAGCATTCAAGCATTATATATATATATATATATATATATATTAGTTGGCCAATTAATTTCTTTCTATTTATAGTAGAGATGGGGGTCTCACTCTTGCTCAGGCTGGTTTCGAACTCCTGATCTTGAGCAATCCGGCTGCCTTGGCCTCCCAGAGTGCTAGGATTACAGGCATGAGCCACTGCTTTTTTTTTTTTTTTTTTTTTGGTACATTTGATCTACTAGTTCTGAGAGAGTTACATTAAAAAAGTAATTATATATATATAATTAGCCGGGCATAGTGGCGCATGCCTGTAGTCCTAGCTACTCAGGAGGCTGAGGCAGCAGGATTGCTTGAGTCCAGGAGTTGGAGGTTGCTGTGAGCTAGGCTGACGCCATGGCACTCACTCTAGCCTGGGCAACAAAGCGAGACTCTGTCTCAAAAAAGAAACATTCAATAAACATTAAAAAAAAAAAGCATAAACATTTGAAAAATATAATTTATAAGTTTGACCATATATATGATATATAATATATAGGTTATATGTATGTCTAATGGATGAAGCTTCAAAAAATTCTATGGAATAAATATAATACAGAAATATGCTTCGACCACAATGTTACAAATTCAGAAATCAATAATGAGGCTTGGCATGGACTCTGCCTCAAAAAGTAAATAAATAAATAAAGTAGTAGAAGAAAGGAAATATTAAAGATTCCTCACCAAAATCAAAAACTACTTCTTTAAAAGACTAATAAAATACAATTTAAAAATATATTTAAATGATATAATATACAAATATACTTAGGCAAGGCTGATCAAGGAATAGAGGTAAGGCATAAATACATAGTATTAGGAACAAAAAGGGAGCTATAACCTAGAGATACAATAAACACAACATTATAATAGTATGAGAAAGAATATTTTGTGCCAAAAATTTTGAAAACCACCAAAATTGACTCAATGAGAAAAATATAACCAGAATAGATCAATAATCACTAAAGAAACTGAAGCTGTAGTTTTAAAAGTCTCTCCTATCCCGAAAAGGCATCAGGCCTAGAGAGTTTTATAGGCAAACTTTGCCAAATCTTGAAGAACAGATCATTCCTACTTTACACAAATTGTTCAAAAGAACAGAAACATGAGAGAAAGCTACCACATTCATTTTGAGTCTAGCATAACCTTAATACCTGAACTGAATAACAACAATAAAAACAAAATTGTAGGTCAATATCACTTGTGAACACAGATATAAAAATCTTAAAGTAACAACTATTCAAAAATCTAGCAGTATATGTAAAAATAATATAGCAAGACTATGACAAAAACTGCTAGAGCCCTGTATATCCATTCTTGTCTTTGTTTTTAAACATACGAACTCTGATTTTTAGCTATGTTCTTCATACCTTGCACGTGGTTTCTCAGCTAAAAAAAAACTACACCTGGCAGCCTCACTTGCAGCTAGGTACCACCCTGTGATGAGGTTTTAGCTGATGTGATGCAGGTTAAAGTGTGTAATTTTTAGGAAGTCTTTTTTAAAAGGAAGGACTGCATCCCTCTTCCTCCTTTCTACTGCTCAGAATGCAGATTTGACTAGTGGAGCTTGAATTTCAGCTCGTTGGACAGAAGGTGATGTACAACATAGAAGTGCCTGGGGTCCTAACATTGCCATTCTTACCTCCAGGCTGGTTTTTCTGTTTAAGTGAGAAAGACATACACTTAAGACACTACTGAGGCTTTGTTATGCTGCCAAACTTAATCCAAATTGGTAATGGGATCAAGCAGGATTTATCCTCGGAATGAAAGAATGACTCAACATGGAAAATCTATTAATATAATTCACCACATTACACATGGAAGGAGAAAATCTATGATCGTCTAAGTAGATTCTGAGAGAGCATACAATAATGTTCTATTTGCATTTTCTATTTAAAAAAAATAAAAATAAAAACTCTTAGCCAACTAGGAATAGAAGTGAATTTCTCTAACCTGGCAAATGGTATCCATCAAAATTTGCAGCAAACATCATCTTGAGAAGCATATCCACTAAAGTCAGGAATGGAATAAGCATGCTACTAACTAGCTACCAACCAGCAGTGAACTAACTGCATGTCCTATTCAATGTATTATTACAAGAAAAATAAATTTAAAATAAAGATTTAAAAGAAATAACCTCATTTGCAGAAAAATAACTGACTGACTATATAGGAAACCCATCATGATTTTCAAATAACCCATGAGACCTAGTAAGAGAAAGCAAGAAGGTAACTAAATACAAAATCCATACACAAAACATAAGTGTTCCCATATACTAGCAGTGCCCAATTATAAACTACAATAGAAAAAAAAAAATGCCAATCACAATAGCTACCATAGTGTAAAACACCACCACATTCTTCTGAATCATGAAAAATCCAAATTACTTATTTCTACTATTGCATTCTTCAAATTCATTCTCTACTCAGCAGCTAGTGATCTTTCATAAACATAAATTAGATCATGTCACATTCCTTTAAAATGTAATGGCTACTCATTACTTGCAATTAGCTTCCAGCTCTTTATCATGCCCATGCTCGGCATGACCTGGCCCCTGCCCATTCTCCCATTCCCTCGCTCACCACTCCCCCACCCCATTCCATACCAGCCACTCGAACCTTCTGTCAAAGTCTTCCCTGCCCTAGGACCTCCACATATGCCATTCCCTCTCCCTGGACCACTTTTCCTCCAAATCATCACCTGAGTGTTCCTAGTCATTCCTCAAGTCTCGGCTTAAATGTCACCTGCTTAATCTAAATAAGGTTCCTTCTCTCTTATCTCACCCTTTTTTCTTTCATATTTCCACTATAGTGTGCAATAATTATCCATTATACCATAATATGTAATCATATTTTTATTCATGGATTATTTATTCATTGCCTCAATTTCCCTCTAGACCATAACTTTGACCAGGGTAAGACTCATGTCTTTGATGCTCCCCCAAGCATTTAACACAGTGCCCAGGAATTATCATATAACAAATGCTTAATAAGTACTTGATGAACAAATTAATCAATAAATGAACAACAGAGTTTGCTGATTTAGCAGGAGTGTCAGCTAGAATGCCTACTGCACTCTTCCCAGGATTGAGGCTTGTTAGGAGGAATGGGAGACCACCCCCCAGGGACCTATCAGGATGAGGGGGCAAAAAGCCTTTCAAGGGAATAAGTAGTGACACATGGACTTGGTTTGGGGTTCATGGGGCAAGATTCAGAGCATAAGAGTTGCACCCATCCATGGCTCCTATCCCATCTCTCAAGAACTCAAGTCATGGATTTTCAAATTTGGTAATCTTTATGTCATAGTAATCTATAATCTGTAATCTTTATGGCATAGTAAGAGCTTGGGGGATGGCAGCTTTAGGAGTGATGGGGGCAACAGCTTTCTGCCACCCTTGATAAAGGCATTTACAGCCTCAGGAGCATAGGGAACTTCAGCGAACTAAGGCAGAGGTGGAGAAAAATGGTGAGTCCCACAGGAACCCCAAGAACACTTGATCAAGCACACACACAAACCACCCCCAGGGCTTCCCAGAAATAGTTGGGGGAACTCTGGGGAAAGTCTGAAGGCTCAACAATGGCAACTGGGAACACAGCTTCGAGGGGCTGCTGCTACGGGCACGCTCCAGTGGGTATGGCCTGGGCAACTCAGATTACATGAAACCCTATGGCCAGCTACAGGAAAGTTCCCAGACACCATACCTAGGGCCGCTGGACTGATAGCATAGCAGCCCGAGGGCAGATGGGCCACAGTGGCACTGCCGCATGGTAATTAGAGAAAGTATCACCCCACAGGCACCCAACAATGAGAGGATGCTTTCCAGTATTCCCTCCAGAGCTCGCAATGCTTCAGGTGGAAATTAAGGAAGCAATGTTTCTGAGGCCACCTAATGCCAGAATTAGGCACTGGTAATTCTACTATCTCAGGTACACCACAGACTCAGGCATATAATAGGTACCCCCGACTGGTTAAATGCTTGTGTGAGCCAAGTGAGGAGGAGTGTTGTATCTGCCAGGGGCCCCTGAGAGGCAATCTTCCTGTTTATTTCTTTTTGAGCTCACATGCTTGTACACCACAGGATGTAATGAGGGATTGGAAGAATCCTGTTATCCCCTAGAAAGGACAATCATTGGAGCTTTGCTCAGCACCTACTTGCTACCTTTCCCTACACCTCTTTCCCCTCAACCGCTGTATAGCCCCTGTCTGCCTCTGAGCACCTGGGATGGGCAGGGGTACAAGGAGAATTCAGTTAGACCTGATGACTACTCCGGTGACATCTCTGCAGACACCCTCTGTGGCTGCTCTGACTCCTCCCCAATGAAAAGGCCTGGTCTCACCTCCAGGAAGAGGGTGCACAGGGAGACTGGGCCAGTGACCACATTATGCAGCCCTCTCTTCCAGTCCCCCAAGGAAGCCTGAGATGTCCCCGCTGTGACCTACCTCTTGTCCTCTTCCACCTGCACGCCGATGGAGTGGAACTCTCTTCGGCTCCTGTTCTCGGTGTCCGAGTCTGAGATAGTCTCCACCTGGAGGCAGGGAGGAGGGGTCAGTGACTGGGACTAGCCAAGGGACGAAAGCCCTTCCCAGGGAGGATGGCCAGCAATGGCTGTGTCCCACGCCAGCTGGCAGATCCTGCAAAGACAATCTGCCTGCACAAGATGCGAGACCCTGTAGGTCAGAGGCCTCAAGGTGGCAAGCCCTGGGCACTGCTCTCCACTCGCCAGTAGGAGCCATGGCACGAGGGCAAGAGACAGGAGAGAGGGCTGGTGCCGGCTGGAGCAGCCCTGGCGACAACCAGGCGCGGGGTCTACTTGCAGCTCAAAGCACGCCAAGAAAAAAGGCCTACATATCCTGAAGGCCCCTTTCATCCCCTCAACCCATCCCCCACTGGCCTGGGCATGGGCCTTGTCCTTGCCTACCTGCACCCCAATGGACGGCCGCCACTTCCGCTGTCGCGCCAGGCTCCGCAGCTCCTCCCTGCCAGGGATGGTCTTGATGATGAGTGTGGGGGGCTTGGGGCCGGCCCGGGGCGGCACCGGCGCCAGCTCCAGGGTGCGCGCGCCCATGGCGGGGCCGTCCAGCCCGTCGGCGGAGCTGCAGCGCCGGGCGGGGCCCTCGGCCGCGGTGAAGCTCTCGTGGGCGGAGTCGGTGCTGCTCTGGGCGGTGATGGAGATGCGGGGCGGGGCCTGGCTTCCCGGCGGGATGGGGGGCGGGGCCTTTCTGAAGTTGAAGGCTGCGGCGGGCGGACGCAGAGACCGGCGGGTGAGAACCGCGTGCCGGCAGGGCTCTGCGGCCCGGCAGCCACGCGTCCCCCACGTGTGCTACACAGAGGGCCAAGGATTGCTCTCCCCGCCAACCGGCCCGGGAGGTGCGCGATCCGCCCGCGGCCACACCGCACAGCGCGCGCGGTGGCCAGAGCCCGACCCCACGCGCGCCCCGCAACCTCGGCCCGGCCACGGCGGAGAGGGCGTACTCACAGGAGCCGGGCCTCCCTGAGACAGAGGCAGGGGCAGCAAGAAGGGGCAGGCAGTCGTCGTCTTGAGAGCAGCCGGCCTGGATGGCCCGGAGGTAGCTGTGGCTCCGCATGCGGAAACAGCCAGGCAGGTCCAGGGCGTCCACGGCCTGGGACTCAAGCTCCCCAAACACGGACCCGCACACGGCCTCCAGCTGCTGGTTCAACTCGTCGCTGAGCTGAGGGTAGGGGGTCGGGAGGACAGTTAGGAGGTGCTGGGACGGGGCAGGGGTCGCTGAGGCGCTTTGCCTTAGGAATCAGTCTTGATCTGCGTCGGCTGTGCGTATGGGTGACTTTCTCCTGCATTTAGACTAAAAGAAACCCTCACTCTGCAAGGAAAGATGGGGGCACCTCTGCCCTGTGCTGTTCCCCAGGCTCTAAACACCCCCACCTCCACCCCACTATGCCTCTCCCAGGTGTCCAGCTGTGCCCCAGGCTCCAGACCACCACAGTTTCCTCTCCACCTAGTCCCCGCCCCTCACGTTTCTCTCACCTGGCCCCGAAGAAAGGACCAGGGACCTGACGTCCACCCTCTGTCCAGTGTGGGGGTGGGGGCTGCAGGAGAGGACACCTTCTATTTTATTATTTATAATACACTACATTACAAAACTGATAGAAAGCAGCCTATAGAGATATATACCAGGTGGCAGGACGAAAATCAGTGGGTACGTGATGGAGCAAAAGTTATTAACCTACAAGTGTTCCAAGCCTTCCTGCCCCTTCTGCCCACAAACTATGGTTCCCTGCCCTTATCCTCTGAAGAAAGCTTGGCCATTGCTGGGTAAGGTTCTTGTTTTTGGCATTTTGGGGTGGTGCAGAATCCATAGTGTTAAAAAAAAATTACAATAAGAAAAAAGCAAAACAAAAATTTTGTTCACGGACCCATGCTGCATGCCACCACACTAAGACTAAATACTCAACTTAAGCCGGGCGCGGTGGCTCACGCCTGTAATCCTAGCACTCTGGGAGGCTGAGGCGGGCGGATTGCTCGAGGTCAGGAATTCGAAACCAGCCTGAGCAAGAGCAAGACTCCGTCTCTACTATAAATAGAAAGAAATTAATTGGCCAACTAATATATATATAAAATTAGCCGGGCATGGTGGCACATGCCTGTAGTCCCAGCTACTCGGGAGGCTGAGGCAGAAGGATTGCTTGAGCCCAGGAGTTTGAGGTTGCTGTGAGCTAGGCTGATGCCATGGCACTCACTCTAGCCTGGTCAACAAGCGAGACTCTGTCTCAAAAAAAAAAAAAAAAAAATACTCAACTTACATGAGAAAACTGGCACAGAGAAAAAATAAAGGTAGGAAAAGGCAATGCCAGAGGTGAGCTCCACACCCAAAACACGGGTGGAAGTCCTGAATATTGCTCAGGATGCATACATGTCTGACACTGAGCTTCTAAGTAGCCAAAGCATGGAGGAGCATGGCCTGAGTGTTGTCTGCATGGACTGTGGAGTGAGACCCATCTGGATTCAAGTGCTGGCTCTGCCACTTCCTAGCAGTGTGGCCTGGGGAAGTTAAAAGTTTTGGGGCCTCAGTTTGCTGACCTGTCAAATGAAAGTGATAGGGGATACCATCTTCGTAGGGCCATTGGAGGACTCAAAGAAAAGCATGTGAGGCACTTGGTGTGGGGAGCTGGCACACAGTAAACCCTCAGTTAGTGGCACGTGAAGGTCTCAGGGCCTTCCTGGTAAACACAGGGCAGGTTTCCATGAGAACCACAACTATTCCTGTCACTAAGCCTAAGAGAAATTCCCCTGCGGACAGTTACATAGAGGCCACTGGATAAAGTCACAGACAAGGTCCTCTATAGCATCCCACAGTGGATGTAACAGCAAATACCCTACAGCTGCATCTTGCAACATCTCCCTGGAAAGAGTCGCGGCATCATTTTTATGTGCAGTCAACAGAGGGTCAAAGGAGTGGCTTGATCCACATGTAAAATGCAGCTCAGTGTTTCTATAACTCAGCCTCCAAAACATAACATGATTTCACTAGATTTTACCTCAAATAAAGCAGGAATTTCCATTCTGTTCTACTAATGAGCACACTAAGACACATGAATTGTCCAAGGTAAAGCTGAAATTAAATGCTGTGTTTCTTGGCTCACGTGTAAGGCTGACTGAGCATCGGAATCTCCTGGAGAGCTTAGTAAACCTACATTCACTCAGGCCCCATCCCTGAGAATCTGAACCCAGGACTCTCTAACGATATGCCATTTTTTTATTTTTCTTTTTGCTTTTGCTGCTTGGAAGCTCAGAGCCAAATTTACTGGAGGTTTAGATTCAGTGGTTCCAATGTAGGCCCAGGAATTAAAAAGAACTGTCTCACCTTCATTCTCCAGCTTTTTCTGAAGGAACTTCAGAAATGTATAGAAATCACAGGCCATGGAAAACTCAATCCAAGACCCTGTAGAATTTAAGTTTGACTGGCACAAGCCACACTTGTGTGGTAGCTGTGGCGCTCTCCATGACTCCTTGGAGTCTACCTCTCAGTCTTTCTATTTCTGGACTCTGGGGCACCAAGGACAACAGTTGCTAAGGTATTTCCTGAAACTCAGGACCTGAACTAACTCCTGCTATTTCTGGGTTAGGCTCAAGACACTCCCCAACTAGAACAAATCCAGCCCAGAGAGTCCTTCCTGGAGCACAGGGGAGCTGATACAACCCCAGCAGAGAGCATTCTGGTCTCGAGTCTGGATACCAGGGCTGGAAGGAATCTCACTCTGTAGTATATTTCCTTATCTCCAGCCCTCTTCTGTGTGTAAAGCACTAGGCATATTATCTGGCATATAGTAGATGCTCAATAAACATCAGCTACTACTATTAGTGGCAATAGGTTCTTAAATCACAGTGACAATGCCACTAAGAATGAGAGGCCTCTCTTTCCCAGGGATCTGAAGCTCCTGAAAGCCCACTCATAGGCTATACCCACAATCAACTCTATCTGAGGCAGATAGACGAAGGGTGAGCAACTCCCTGGGGCCAAACCCCTTCCAGCTCAACTGGCCAAGGGGATCTTCTGGGGTTCCAACAAGGGACCAGGACCCAAAGGAAACACAGACTCATACAGACTCTCAGATGTATATTACACCTAAATTTCTCTTTGCTATATTACAAGTATAAAATTTTAACATCATACTGTGAATACTCCTATTATCCCTGCTCTGACTTCCACCCTGATTCCCCCACCCCCACTTGCAGGAAAGTCAAAGTCAAAGAATCCTCTTGGGATGAGATTCTTAGCCTTTCTCCAAATCAGACTCGGCATCAGCAGCCATTTCCAAGCTCATGGAATATTTAGAGAAAAATACTTTGTGTCTAATTGAATACTGTCCATTCTAGAGTTGGTGGGTACAGCTGGGGCCTGGCTACATCCTGCATACTTTACGTATGTTATTTAGTTTAGATAACCTTTGGAAAACTCTCCCGTTTCAAAACACTGGATAAAATATAACAAACGTTGTTTTATATGCATAGCTGAGCTCACAAGAAAGCAAGATAAGTCCCCAGGGAACAAAAGCAAAGAGGAGACTGGAAAGTCAGAATATTAACTGTGTGAGCCAATGCTGCAAACAGCGCAGGAGGCAGGAGGTGGGGGCAGGGGCTGCTGGTCTCAGCAACCAAAAGGCTTAGGTTTTAACACCCACTCGGGCACAGGAGGAAGGCTTTGGGCCCACATGAAGCATGGAATTGGAAATGAGAACCTGCATGAAGCTACAGAAGGGGAAACCTTTGAGGAAAATGTAGACTAGAAAAAAAAAAAATCAATCATCACCACAGGCTGATGACAGGAAGCTGGTCTGTGGTACAGGGACTGGGGGGCGGGGAAAGGAGGCGACTCCCGTAAGAACATGTGCCACAAGCTGGTGCTCACACAGACGCAGGACTGTGTATCTGCATGAACCCTCAAGGGCCAACCCCCCAAAAATAAAAGTTAACATAAAATGGTCACAGACCAGGGATGTTCTAACAGAAGCAATTGCAAAATATTTCCCGGGGGACCCACTCCTAACCCAGGCTGCGCAGGCTTCCCACATATAAAGAAGGATGGGTGAACTACGTGGTAGGCAACCTCTAACCCAGCCCCTAATGACCTCCAGCTCCTGCCACTCACACCCTTGTGTAATCCCTTCCTCATCCACTTAGTGGCCCGCTTCTAATGAGCAGAATATGGCAGATATAAGAGATCCACTTCTGAGATTAGGGGACAAGCAGATTGTGGTTTCCATCTTAGAGGCCTGAGAGAGAGAGAGAGATCCTTTGCTCTGAGAGAAGCAAGCTGCTATGTTGTGAGTAGCCTGTGGTGAGTCTCACAGGACAAGAAACTGATGCCACTGGCCACCAGCCAGCCAGGATCCGAGACCTGCCAACAGCCACACAAGTGAGCATGGCAGCAGATCTTCCCCCAGTCAAGCCTTGAGATGGCTGAAGCCCTGGCCCACCCTTGAGTGCAGCTTTGTGAGACACCTGACCCAGGTGGCACCCAGCCAAGCTGTGCTCAGATTCCTAACCCACAGAAAGTGTGAGATAATAAACATTTGTTCTTTTAAGACAACATTTGAGGCCCTACATTTGAGGATAACTTATTACGCAAGCAATAGATAACAAATTCAAACTGTGACATGAATGAGGACTGAATTTTATTGAGTTAAGCCACAGAAGATTCAAAGTTCCTCTGGTACAGCAGCTAGTGTTGCTTCAACTAAAACAAAATAGCTTTTAAACTATATTTAAAAGTTCTAAGACTTTATTTTCTTTATTTTTTTATTTCTTTGCAAATTCAGCAGACAGAAAAAAGTTCTAAGACTTTAAAGGTAAAACCGAAAACATAAGAAGAGAATAAAAGCTTAGAAAAAAAGACTAGAAAGATTTGAAAAGAAATCAAATCACATTTCTAGAAATGAAAAAAAAAATCAGTGAAATTAAAAACACAATCGATGAGTTAATAGTGGATGAGACACGACTGAAGAGAAAATTAATGAACTGGAAGGTACACCGTAAGAACTTACCCAGAAGGCAGCACAGAGAGGAAGAGATAGAAGCTATAAAGAAGAAGTTAAGAAATGAAGAAGAGGATAAGAAGATCCCACATACAACTAATAGAAGTTCCAGAAGGAGAGTATAGATGGAATGTGAAAAGGGCAATATTTAAAGAGATCATTATAGTGGTTGAGAATT